AAGTTAAGTACGTAAGTACTAGTAACTAGTAGTAAGAAGAGTACGTACGTAGTAGTAGTAGGTAGGGGTGGGGGGGGGGGGAGGGAGGGAGCACATGAAACATGAGGACTTGGAGGAAGGGGGGTGAGGAGAGTATCATAAAAATTTATTTTCTATTTCTCTAACCAAACATTAGAAAATATTTTCCGGAAAAGGTGTTACACCCCATGTTTTCGTACGTGAAAGTGCGCCGTATAATGGAAGCTCGAAAATGAATGTTGCATCCCACATTTTCGAACGTTAAAGTTTCGTCGTAAGTTAATCGACGTAAGCTCGGGAATGAGATTATTTTTGAGGTTATAAGTATTATGTTATTTCAAACAAGTGATAAGTAAATTCGTGAAAGTGAGAGGGTAAGCAAATCGAAGAAAATAAATTTCGTCAAAGTTGGACATTTTGGGATAAAATACGGTCCGAGCTATTATGCCCGGTATTTATGGACTAGTGCCATGCAAGGTACCATATGGCCATGATAGTAAGGTGTATAGAGTAAATTAAAAGTGAGTAATATTTTGAGTAAAGTGGGATAATTCTTAATTATGTGAGTAATTGATTAATTATTGGATTTGTGGATGAATATTTAAGTGAAATTGTTGGATAATTATTGAGGGGGCAATATCCACGTGGGGGTTATGTAAACATGGTAGCACATTGCCACAAATTCATAGCCTAAGTAGGTGGTGGCATAACATAATCCAAACTTGAATATAAGACTCATTTTGCTGGACCAACTATTGGAAATAAGTGTATTTTCCAATCATGAGAGTTGGATGGGTGAGTTATGCATCACTCCAAATTAATGATTCTTCCAAGCCAAAATATGATATCTTGTAATCAAGACCAAATCCAGTAGTGACCAAGAACGCAAGAGCTGGAACGTGAAATTTGCTTCGGAAAATTCATACAAGATCCGATTATGCGAAATATGCAATTTTAAGGAAGCACGGTATAATATTTCTCAAGAATATCTACGGAATTTTTCCTACTTCAATCCGCCATTACATGTTTTCGCAAAAGAGAATCGGTTCAGGTATGTTAAGGCTATCCCTTCCTTCCTTTGGCATGATCCATACGATACAAACGAAACAAGCAAATGCACAACTTCCATAAATGACTCTATTCATAGAAGTATTAGAGATGCCCATGTTCTTGAATTCACATATGTAATATTGTTCTATAGTCTGTTCATGGGTCTCAGAAAATACATAAGTTGAAAAAGTTTACTTCATGATATTAATCAGAGGCATAATGGTCTTATGACGTACCGAGAGATTTTATTAACGTATTTCATATGCATTTCATGCATTTATACATGCACACTGATCCATGACCAGATGGCGTTATATACGCGTATATATATGTATATATATATGTATATGGGATATGGGAAAGGTTACGACATTATATACGCACCACCACCTGATCAGCTGGTAAACGTTGATGATTTGCCCACAATGGCCTAGATGAAACGATGGGATGCCCTCAGAGGCTTGATGATGTTATGAACACATTTACCCATGCATGGTACATATTTATACGCACACGCATGACATTTTAAATATTAAAGGATTCACAGAGCTATTCAGACTTACATGTCGAGTCTTTTGCTCCATGTTTCTCTCATGTCTATTATTTACTGATTTTCATTCCTTATATACTCAGTACATTATTTGTACTGACGTCCCTTTTGCCTGGGGACTCTGCGTTTCATGCCCGCAGGTCTCGATAGACAGGTTGAGAGTCCTCCAAGGGAGCGAACAGCTCAGCGAAAGATGTTGGTGCACTCCATTTGCGCCGGAGTTGCTTGTTTGGTCAATATGATTTAGATGTGTATTATATGGTATGGCGGGGCTCTGTCCCGACCTTTATGACAATTATGTATCCTTAGAGGCTTGTAGACAGATGTCATGTACGTAAAAGATTGTACGGCCTTGTCGGCCTATGTTTTGAGTTTATAAATGGTCATGTTGGCCTATTAGGCTCGGATTTCACGTGTATATGATGATGTAATAAGAAAGATACGTTATGTTGGTACTCGATTGAGCAAGGTACCGGGTGCCCGTCGCGCCCCATCGGTTTGGGTCGTGACAAAAGGCTTTCCACTCATCAACCAAACAAGGATAAATAAGTCATAAACCACTCATTTTCCATGAAAGTTTTTTCTAGGAAAATATTTTCCTTCCTACCAAACACACCCTTAGTGTATGTCTGTTTCATGAGATATCCCATATTTTTACAGCTAAGTACCAATCCCATTTGTATACGGTGGAAATCGGGGCGACCCGATTTCATCCTTTGGTCAAGATAGGAAGGTCACGTCGAAGAGCTACGATGTAGAGGTCGACCTCGATTGCGGACCGGAGAGAGGAAGACCTCGAGTGACATTGGCGTAGCTCGATAATGGAAAAGGAAAAATATCCGCAGTTGATCGAGAATCGTGGCGTGAATCTCGGAACGGATTGATTCTTCGGCGGTTAATCAGTTGTCAAATATGATTTCCTACTATAATTAGAAGTGTACCTTATTTAGGACTCCCCTATTATATAAAGAGGGATCCAGTTCATTTGTAAGGATCGTTGTTCACTGATAAGAATATATACACTCATTACTTTCTTGCTATTTCGCTTACTGTTCATCAGAGTTGCTTTATCATTTGCTATTCTTATCATCACACCTCGAGGCTATCACAAGTTGAGGTCCAAATTTTGCTAGCATACTAGTTTGATCTAATTTATTCTCTAATTTATCTATTTAATTCCCTGTTTATCAATTGGTATTGGATTGAATCACATACCTTTAAAACCACAATATAAGTTTAATTGTTACTCAAATTTTAGGGTAAACAGTTTGGCGCTCACCGTGGGGCTAAGGATAATAGTGATTGTTCAGTGCTGATTCTGATAACACACATTATTTCACGCTTGTTCTTGTCGAGTATTTTTTGCTCTCAAGAACATGTCAAACTCACAAAACGCACCCATACATGGTGATGATGGTCTCGAATTTCACGGGAAAAATGACAATGTAATTGCTCCAGGAGCCGGGGTGCCACCGGCTAATCTCGGGGGAGAACTGGTTGCCGATCCAGTCGATGTCAATTCGCACGTTGCTCTAAACGCGGACCTAGGTGCGAACCCCGAAGGGAGTGTACGCAGGGAAGGCCGATTTGGTGGTCAAGGTACACAGGGCAGAGGAGACGGAGGAGTTAGTCTCCAGGTGATATTCGAGATGCTATAGGCCTAGCAGGCCGCTATTGCTTAGTTGCAAAATCAACATAGGACTCCAAGTGGGGTCTAGCCAGAAATCACTCGCCATACCGAGCCAGTGCCAGAAAGGTCGAATGATAACGAACCAGGGACTGATCCTGCAATAATGAAAATGCTCGAGGAGCTCAACAAAATAATTAAGTTAGGAGAGATGAAAATCGAAGATAATGATAAAAAAGTGGAAACATACAACTCCCGAGTTGATCAAATACCAGGGGCACCCCTGATCCTAAAGGGTTTGGATTCGAAAAAGTTCATGCAGAAGCCTTTTCCTCAAAGTGCGGCTCCGAAGCCCATTTCTAAGAAGTTTCGTATGCCAGACATACCTAAGTACAACGGGACCACCGATCCAAATGAACACATCACTTCGTACACATGCGGAATAAAGGGAAATGACTTAGAAGATGATAAAATCGAATCTGTGTTGTTGAAAAAGTTTGGAGAAACCCTTTCGAAGGGAGCAATGATTAGGTATCACAACCTGCCACCAAATTCCATCGACTCATTTGCCATGTTAGCAGATTCTTTCGTAAAGGAACACGCTGGGGCCATAAAGGTCGCAACAAGAAAATCGGACCTGTTCAAGATAAGACAAAGGGATAACGAAATGCTGAGGGAGTTCGTATCCCGATTTCAAATGGAACGTATGGAGTTGTCACCGGTCACAGATGATTGAGCGGTTCAAGATTTCACTCAAGGGCTAAACGAATGGAGTTCGATAGCGTCATGTCAGTTGAAGTGAAACTTGATCGAGTATCCAGATGTGACTTGGGTAGATGTGCACAATCGATATTAATCAACGATCAGGGTCGAGAACGACCAATTAAGATCCCCTTCCAGTTCAGTACATCCAAACAGGTCGGTAGTTAAAACCCCGAGGGATGTCGACAGGGAGCCAAGGTCTAACAGAGAACGATATCAACTATATACCTCAGATCGAAGGAACAATGGTTCAGGACGCAATTCCGCCCGAAATGATCGAAGAAGTGATCGAGGACATAATTCTTGGGGACTTATGAGCAAAAGTGGTTTTGATAAGTGTGCCGATCCCACAAAGGCACCTCGGTTATCTGAATATAACTTTAGCATCGACGCATCGGGCATTGTATCGGCAATCGGAAGGATCAAAGATACTAGG